TTTACATCCCCGTGACTACTCTGTACTTCTTATAATCCCTTCACCTTTTTTACCCATCCGCCCAACTTCCTTCTCATCTGGCAAATGTCAAAATATTCTCTGTACCTTTGAGTCTGCTTCTGTTATGCTTGTTCACATATTTTGTTTTTTAGATTCAGTTGTTGATAGAAATGTATTTATGGCCATTTTATTATTCATATTTTTAATCTTTTCTTCTTCTTCAAGAAGACCCTTTAACATTTCATGTAATACTGGTTTGGTGGTGATGACCCCCTTGAGTTTTTTCTTGTCTAGGAAGCTCTTTCAATGTGATTCTAAACGATAGCTTTGCTGGGTAGAGTAATCTTGGATTAAGTCCTTGCTTTTCATCACTTTGAATGTTTCTTGTCAGTCCCTTCTGGCCTGCAAAGTTTCTATGGAAAAATCAGCTGACAGTCATATGGGAGCTCCCTTATAGTTAATTAACTGTTTTTCTCTTGCTGCTTTTAAGATTCTCTTTGTCTTTAACCTTGGGCATTTTAATTATGATGTGTCTTGGTGTGGACCTCTTTGGGTTCCTCTTGTTTGAGACTTTCTGCGCTTCCTGGACTTGTGTGTCTATTTCCTTTACCAGGTTAGAGAAGCTTTCCCTCATTATGTTTTCACATAGGTTTTTGATTTCTTGCTCTCTCTCTTCTCCTTCTGGCATCACCATGATGTGAATGTTGGTATACTTGAAGTTGTCCCAAAGGCTCCTTATATTATCCTCATTTTTTGGGATTCTTTTTCTTTTTGCTGTTCTGATTGGGTGTTTTTTGCTTCCTTGTCTTCCAAATCTCTGATTTGATCCCCTGCTTCATTGACTCCACTGTTGATTCCCTGTAACATATTTTTCATTTCAGTTAATGTATTAATTTCTGACTGGTTCTTTTTAATATTTTTTAGTTCTGTTTTTTTTTTAATCCTTACCTGAGGGTATGCTTTTATTGATTTTAGAGAAAAGGAACAGAAAGAGATAGAGATAGAGAGATAAAGATAGAGATAGAGAGAGAAATATTGATGTGAGAGTGAACATCGATTGGTTGCCTCCTGCATGTGCTCTGACCAGGGATCAAACCTGTAACCTGAGTATGTGACCTGACTGAGAATCAAACTTGCAGTCTTCTGGTGTACAGGATGACACTCCCACCAACAGAGTCACATGGGCCAGGGCTTTCTAGTTCTGTTTTTATGTTTCCTATCTCTTTATTGAAGTTCTCACTAAGTTCATCTACTCTTCCTCTCAATTCATTGAGCATCTTTATAACCAGTGTTTTGAGATTGCTTATCTCCCTTTTGTTTAGTTCTTTTTCTGGAGTTTTGTTTTGTTCTTTCATTTGGGATATGTTTCTTGGTATCTTCATTTTGGCAGCCTCTCTGTGTTTGTTTCTATGTATTAGGTAGAGCTGCTACGTCTCCTGGGCTTGTTAGAGTGGCCTTATATAGTAGATGTCCTGTAGGGTCCATTGACACAGACTTTCTGTTCACCTGAACTGGGCACTCCAGGTGTGCCCTCCCTCCCCCGTGTGGGCTGTGTGCACCCTCCTGTTATAGTTGAGCCTTGATTGCTGTTGGCACATCAATGGGATTTACTCCCCAAGCTGACTGACTACAAGGACTGGCTGTGACCACCGTGGAGGATCAGTTGTTTAGGAGCCCACCCCATGGAGCAGGACTTAGTTAAGCGGGGCTCTGGTGCCTGCTGAGTCTGCCCCTTGAGTGTATTGCTTGTAGAGGTGGTTGGGTGGTGGTTTGAAGCTATCCACCCAGTGTGCTGGCCCTGGGGCCTTCTGGGAGGTGCAAGGCAAGGTCAGCCACCATGACTTAGGCAATTCTTGTCTCCTGGGTTAGTTGTCCCAAATGTACACATGCTATCTTACTTTCCTGAGGGTATGGAAGTAAAAATGAAATTAATGTGTAAACTTGAATTAGTTTCTTTCTCTGGACTATAGTTTTGTTTTCATTTGTAAATGAAACATTGACCTTAATAATTTCCAAGATAATTTTAACATCAGATGCCTGGGCTAAGATGTCTATTTTCTATTTCCTGTCACACAAAACAAAATTTTAGTTAGCATTCAATGACATTTTCATGTCTTTTTCTACACCCTCCCCATCCCCGACAAACAGATAACTTCACTGCATGCTTTATTCTCAGGCCTTAGGCTGTGTGAGTGAATCTGAGACAGCTCTGGAATTGTTGCCCTTTGTTGTTAAAGGTTTTAAAAAAAATATGTTCTGATAGGAAATGGAGGCAGTAAAATGTGATTGTGAATTCCCTAAAATCAAAAGAAAACATATTTTTTTCACCTTTTGTGATGTGACATTATGTTATTCACCAGTTACCATGCTATCAAACCTGTTGGGTTTGGTTGGACCCAGCTCATCTTGCACTGTGACAGTAAAACCACCTTAATATTTGTAATGGTTTCTTGAGCCCCACAGAAGATAAGGAAGGCTTGCAGAGAAGTTAGTCAGAAGCAAGATCAAGCTGTGGAAATTTTAGATAAAGTCTACAATCCTGTGCTCAGAAGGAATGTGGGAGAAAATTATAGAGAAGAACATATCACTGGGTGACTCCCTGGATGAGGAATGATACCCAAATGGGCACAAACATGGGTCAGGAGTGGGCAGGGAGAGTGTTTGGGAAATCAGAGTGATGAAAGCATTGTTAATGAGCTCCAGTGAGAGGAAACTTGATGTGGTGATAAAGCAATGGTGTCTATCTGTATAAGCTTGCATGCGTTGCCATAACAAAATATCACAGACTGGGTGGCCTAAACAACGGAAATGCACTTTTTTTCACAGTCTGGAGGCTATAAACTAAGATCAAGGTGCTGTTAGGGTGGGTTTCTGGTGAGACCTCTCTTCCTGGCTTGTAGATGGCTCCCTTCTCTCTGGACACTCACATGGCCTCTTCTCTGTGTGCACATGGACCTGTCCTATGAGAATAGAGACCCACCCTTATGACTTAATTTAACCTTAAGTCCCCCCCTAAAGACCTTATCTCCAAATATAGTCACATTGGGGATTAGGGCTTCAACATAAAAAATTTGGGGGAACATAATTCAGACCAAAATAGTGTTCATTATAGTTCTTGTAAATTGCCTTCTTGAAGGAGAGAAAGGACACTAATTGAGGACCAACTGAGTGTCCGTTATTACTGATTCACGATCTTATTTGGCTCCTGCATAACCCTGTCATGAGAGAAGATTGAAGCTGGAAGATATTGTGATCACCCAGATAGTAAGAGGTCAAAAAGCATTCAAACTCTCCATGCTACCATATCAGGGAGGGAACTTTAATTGAAGCCTTGCTGAATTCCTAGGGACTATGTCTTTAAACTTGGAGTTGTCAAGAAGGCTGCTTGGCAGGTCTATTTTTGGGTTTGGGAAGGTCTCTGAACAGGGAAGTGATGTGATCAGAGTTGTGCTTTGGGGAGGTCACTGGCCATTTGGGTGTGGATGTGGGTGACTGGAAATCATCTAGAAGCCTATTGCCACAGTCCTGTTGAGAGATAATGACAGCCAGAAAAGGCAATATAAAAAGTGCTAGATTCCCATGACATTGTGAGAGTCAGGTTTTGATAATTGATTGAGTGCAGGTCATGGGCCAAAGGAAGGGAGTCCAGGGTGAGGCCGAAATGAGCAACTGGGAGGACAGCAGTGCCCCTGATGGAAATGAACTGAAACANGAGGCCGAAATGAGCAACTGGGAGGACAGCAGTGCCCCTGATGGAAACTGGGCCCAGTTCATCTGGTACCCCCAAAGCTCTCCTGGTCCCCGTTCTATAAGGTGGTGAGGAGGTACTGCGAGAAAGCCTGCAACTGCTTAGAGTCCAATGTGCCCCTTTGGGAGGATGTTGGAGAGAACTTCTTGAACTTAAGATTAATCTAATGCAGTTAATCATTACTGGCAATTATACCCTTAATAGCACATTAGGCTTAATAATTTATTAAGTGAGAGATGATAAATGAAAAGATAATGGGTCAGGACAGGCAGGTTGCATGCATACGGGAATTTTGATTAAAAGTGGACTATTATCTCCATCAAGTTTGAGGAGAAAAAAGTGGATCTCTCAACAGGCTGTGTTCCTCCCTGTTTCTCCTTCCACTTCTCCCGCCCCCCCTTCTTTTTCTTCGAACACACAAAGCATTTTAATGTTTATAAGGAGGACAAGATGCAGCCTGGGCCCATAGTACTTTTCACACCATGAGAATTCCACGCTCAGGCAGAGGCAATAGTAATTTACTTCTTTTGCACACTTTACTGGGCCCTATGCTCCTAGCAAAGGCGAACATGCTTACGTTGTACAACACACTTTAAAGTACAGATGACCAAGAATTAAAGCTCTTAAGTGTCAATAATCAAAGCACACAGTTTCCCCTTCTTAATGAGTGGTGTCCACCCAGTTACTCAAGCCCCTAATCTAGGAGTCACCCTTGATTACTCTTTCTGTCATTTCCCACATTTGACCCATCAACAGGCCCCTCAACTTTGTTTCTAAAACAGACCTTAATCTCTACGATTATCTTTGTCTCTACTGCTACTAGGAGCCTATATTGCTCAAAGTCCCAAGCCAGGAGTGCTGGACAACACAGAGATGATTGGCATAGGCCCTGTTCTTGAGCCCATAGCCTCTTGGGAGACTTCTAGGGGAGGCCTGGTGGCTGTGGGTCTTCCCATGTCTTCAATATTGTGCACTGGGATCCCAAAGGGCTCACAGGCGATCTGATTTGGGGATGCAGCCTACTGGCCCTTCCTTAATCCTTTCCTTTTCTTCTTTACTAATATTACCCAAGTCCTCACAGCCACCTGCAGAACCAAAGTCCCTGACAGACTCCAGCACAGTCAAGTTCCTGGCCTGTCTCTGCTCTTTCTTGTCCTTCTCTTGGCTGGCGTGTCCTTTCTCTCCTTGGCTCACCCCAGAGTGTCCTGATGGAGCACAGAGTCCTCACCCTACTTTATCTTTGTGTTTCCAGATTGGAGCTTCTCTCTTCGCCAGTAACATCGGAAGTGGCCACTTTGTGGGGCTGGCCGGGACGGGAGCAGCTGCGGGCATTGCCACCGGGGGCTTTGAATGGAATGTGAGTAACATCAGAGACACTGTGACCTGGCGCTGGAAGGAGCTTTAACAATCAGTCAGTTCAGTCTATGCTCAGAGGTAGATGCTGTAGGTGCTAGGGAGCCTCTCCGGGCCACCCTGCGGTGCAGATGAAGGCGGTGCCCAGCTTCAGCAGCCCCAGGGTCCCATGCCCCTTCCACCAGAGTAGCATGGAAAAACCACTCATGATGGCAAGAGTGTTTCTTTCTTCTCTTAAAAAGCCAAGCAACTCCTCTACCCTTTCAACCATATTGGAGGCTTGGAAATATTTATTATCAGATTCCCATTATTATTATTATTATTTATTTTTTAAAAGGTCTCCAAATGGCATTTTACTCCTTGTAAACCAGAGAAGAGGAAAAGGAGTTGTGATGTCACTGAGCAGTCACCAGGGATCCCCTCCACTGTTGCTCAACTACCATGCCTGTGGGGCAGTCAGGCAGCAAAGATCCCTCCAGTTCTGATAGCCACAAAGGGAGTTGTCCTCAGAGCCCAAAGAGAAACTGCTGTGTGATTGTTCTGCTTTGGCTGGGGGGCCTCCCGGCAACATGATCTAACTCCATTTCTTTTTTGGTTTTAGGCTCTGATTTTGGTGGTTGTGCTGGGCTGGGTGTTTGTCCCTATTTACATCAAGGCTGGGGTGAGTATCTGTTATTCCATCTACTTCATGAGCGCACGCATACACACACATGCACACACAAGAGCTTGGTCCTCCTGGAAGGCAGAGGAGACTTTACAGGATAAATGGCAGAGAAAGCCTGTGGCTTGGCTTTCTTTTCCAGCCTATAAAGTACCTGATTGCTCTTAGGGACATTAATTAGATCCACTAAGCTATGACATGTCCTTATAAGAAATCCCCCTAAGCAATCTCATTCTATTCAGAGCCCTCTGCAGCATCCTGTCCTCTCAGGCTGGGTGTGTATTTACAAGGCACTGCCTTGCATTTGCTCATGATCTATGACTGTGCGCCTCTGCCCCCGGAAGGGAAGCAGTATGAGCAAAGGATCATACTTCCCCCTCATTTATGTACATGCCCAGGTTTCTTTGCTGAGCATGCAGCTGGTATTCAACTGTCAAATGCATGCTCCAGCTCTTGAAGAAAGCTCTCTGACATTTTACCTAAGGCAACCTTAGTATATGTCTTCAGCGAGCTATAATGAGTACCTACTATGTGTAAGTCTACTAAAAGAAATATGGAAGAAACACAGGGCAGACTGTGCAACTTCTGGAGGCTGTTGGTGGTCGCTGTCTGATCCCAGGAGACAGCAGGCTCAGGGTTGAGGCAACAAGACAGAGTGTTGTTGGAATTTGCAGAAAGGGACTGGGAGAACAGTTGAGCAGGCTGGCAGCCACAATCCTTGGTAAGGCCTGTGTGCAGAGCAGGGTGAAGCACACACCCAGCTTGGCCACCTTGTTTGATGCGTTGAAAAGATACTTCTGTTATTATGATGTCTTGCTCACAGTAGGTGCTTTCTATAGGTATATATTATCTATCTCCACCTCCTCCAGGGCAAAGATCTGTCATTAAGTAAGTGTTTATTGGGCACCTTCTATGTCCTGGGATAATACACAGTTACCTCTACAGTAAGGCATGTGGGATTGAAATGAGCTGGAGAACAGCCACGTGGCCATATCACAGACTTCTCTGAGCAACAAGGGTTAAGCCTTGATCACACATCTGACACCATGGTGGATGCCACTGTTCTGCTTGCTCTGGGCCTTCTGGTCACTATGGCTGGCATTGACCTCCTTTATATGCCATGCAGGTGGTGACGATGCCAGAGTATCTGAGGAAGCGATTTGGAGGCAAGCGGATCCAGATATACCTCTCCATTCTGTCCCTGTTGCTCTACATTTTCACCAAGATCTCGGTGAGTCCATTGCCCTGTGAGGCTGGGCACTAGCTATCTCAGAACCTGCCCACTCTCACTCCTCAGCACATGCTGGCCCACCAAGGGGTAGCGCTATATGTTTCTATTAACTCAGTCCCTTAAGCCTTCTTGCTACTTAGGTAAAGTCCTATTTCATGCATCAAGGAGCCAAAACATGGAACTCCTTTTCCTCCACTGTGGGGAAGGTTGAAAACATAAACAGATTCAAGAAGGTTTGGTGAAAGCCATTCTCAATAGAAGATTAAAGGGAGTTAGGGATGTCCGAGGGCTGGCCCCAAACTGAGATGTAGCCATGGCCTTTGTGCTCTCTCAGGGTCAGAATCTGGCTCGAGGTGATGTTTCTGATGCTCTTAAACATGAGCAGTCAGTGGAAACTCTTGAAGGGACCTCAGAGTTTCTCCCTCTTCCTTTATGGATGAAGAAACAAAAACCCTGGGATTGGAAATTACTTGCTAAGGATCCTGAATCAGGAATAGAACCCAGACCTCTGACTCCAGATCCCTGTCCTTTTCATTTCACAAGACTTCTTGTACTTGTTTGGAATCAGCTCCTTGGGTCTTTAGTCAATAGCCCTCTGAGGGATTTCTACTCTGTGAACTCAACCACCGGGGCTGCTCCCCCTAACATTTAGCCTGTCTCCCTACTGACCTGGAGCTGCAGGCTCCAATTTGCAGAGCTGAGATTCCTCAGGGATTGACTGGCAATGGGGGTGTGTTTAAGAATTGCACAGAGCTCTTGGCCGACTCATTGGAGCAAGACTTGTATTCCATCTTCACTTCATATTTTCTTCCTTAAAAGTGTGCAAGTCAACTTCTTTTGATGGTAAAACAAAACAAAGCAAAACGACTCAGGAAACCACTGAAGTTCTGAGATATTCCTCATGATAGGAAGAGAACAGTTTCCTAATAGGTTTTGCCTGGCCTTTTTTTCCCCCCATTCCAAAGGCGATTTTCAGTCTGAAAAAGTTAAAACAACAGTGCAAAAAAAGGGACAATGTGAGTGATAAGGGATAAGAGAGAGAAAATAGGACCTCGGTAAGGAAACTCCCTAGGAGAACACTTAGAGGAAGTAAGACGTTGTGGAGGAGCCTGGGCTCCTAGCAGGTGACCTGGGGCAAACGGCATGTTGCTTTACCTCCCCAGAGCTTACTTAGCTTCTCCATGGGTAAGATGGGGATAACACATGCTGCCTTGCCTACCTCACTGGGTGGGGTGAAGTTCAAATGGATTTATTTGAAAACATGAAGTGTCAGTGGGATGTAAGATCAGATGATGGGAACCCTTGCTCCTTGGGTTGCTTCAGCACCCTAACCTAGCTAGAGATGAAAGCTATGTATTTTGGATACTAGACCCTTGTCAGATATATGATTTGCAAACATGTTCTCTTATTTGGTAGGTTGTCTTTTCACTTTCTGGGTAATGTCCATTGACGCGCAAAAGTTTTAAATTGCGATCGTACTGAAGTTCAATTTACCTTCTTTTCTTTTGTTGCTTATGCTTTTGGTGTCATTTCTAAGAATTCACTGTGAAATCCAAGGGCAGAGAGGGAAGTGACATTTTCTGAGATGTCATGGGAGTGGCTCCAGCTTTCCCCTTTAGCCAGCAGTTACAAAGTGCCCACTGCCCTCCCAGAGGGGTTATTTCACTGGCTATGGTCAGTTTTCCTCTTTTTTATTATCTTTCTTCATCCAGCACCAAAGGGGAAATTGGACCAATTTCACAGTCTTGTAAAAGTTCTTTCCTGGCTGAATTCTGGGTCAGGTTGAATCTGAATTGAGCCTTCTGTTATTGCTAGGCAGGGTGCTGAAAAAATAACTACCAGTGCTTTTATTTTCCAATCATTTAAAGCTGATACAACAAATACAATATTTCATTATATTTTTTTTGGCCAAGTAATATTCTATTGTGTATATGCACCACATCTTCTTTATCCAATAGTTTACTGATGGACACTTGGGTTGCTTCTGTATTTTGGCTCTTGGAAATAACACTGCAATGGACATAGGGGTGCATATGTTATTTTGAACTGGTGTTTTGGGTTTCTTTGATTATATACCCAGGAGTGGAATGGCTGGGTCATAAGGAAGTTCTATTTTAAATTTTTTGAGGAACTTCCATACTGTTTTCCACAGTGGCTGCACCAATCTGCATTCCTACCAAGAGTGCACAAGGGTTCCCTTTTCTTCACAGGTTATTTGTCTTTTTTGCTGTTGAGTTGAAAGAGTTTTTATATATTCTGGATAGTAAACCCCTATCAGAGGTATGATTTGCAAATATTTTCTCCCATTCTGTAGGTTGTCTTTTCACTTTCTTGATAGTGTCCTTTGATGCACAAGGGTTTTAAATCTTGATGAAATTCATTTTATCTACTTTTACTTTTGAGGCTCATGCTTGTGTTGTCATTAAATTAACTGATTTTGTGACACCAAAAAAACACATTGAAACAGCAGAGGTCGTGAAGATTGACTCCTATGTCTGCTCCTTAGTTTTATAGTCTTAGCGCTTACATTTAGGTCTTTATCCCATTTTGAGTTAATTTTTGTGTATGATGTGAGGTAGGGATCCAATTCTATTCCTTTGCATATGTATATCCAGTTCTACCAGCACCATTTTTGAAGAGACTATCATTTCCCCATTGAATGGTCTTGCACATATGTTTTTCACACAACTCAATGAAACCTGATTTCACCCATAGGGCCAATAGGGCTTTGTGTTGGAGTTGGGACTGACACCCAGGATTACTGTTCCCTCCCTACCCAGCTACCTGTTTCAAATGGCTCATCCCCTGATTGGTGTTTTGTACTTTCCCTGTCCGTGTGATAATTCTACCTCCCTCACTTTTCCCTTTCCTCATTCAGGGTTAGTGTTTAGTTACAGTCTTATTTCATTAGAGATCAGTGTGCAGAGACTGCATTGGGAAGTATTGGGAGGGGTGGAGAAATCAGTCTTCCTTAGAAGGGAAGGGCAGCAATGTAAGAGAAGAAAAAATGTAAGCAGGAAGGGTGGGGAGGTCACCCTGAACTTGTGGGCAGTTGGTAAGAGAACAGTTGTTTCAGCTTGTTAGCTGGCACCTGCTTAATGAACATGTAGAGGATGGCACTTGGACTCCCCTTCTCAGAACAAGACTTCTCCAAGTCCACAGTTCAAGCAGGTGAAAGTCTGTTGGCTACAGTTGCCATGGAAAGGGCACTTTTTGCCCTCAAAGCTAGTACAGGGGTTGTCATATAAATACACGAAGTGGCCAACCTCACTCCCTGACTTCCCAGTCACCTTACCTATTGCTCAGGTTACTGATTAAACCTCCCTGGACACGGGAGCTCCCACATAGCTGAGGGGCAGCCTCCCTCAGCTCAGGTCCTGGTGGAGTCCATCCTCTAGCAGTCGGCTTTTTCGGAATTCTGCTTTGAAATGATAGTTGGTGTAGGCTGCTCTCTCCCTGTATGCTCCTTACTGGGGGCCTTGCCCGGTGTCCTACCTGCTCTGCCTCTTTCCCAGAGCCAGCCATCTCTTGAATGATGCACAGAAAGGATGATAGCTACCCTCTATTCAATGCCAGTCTCTACTTAGTCTCCATAATAATAATAATAATAATAATAATAAATAATAATAATAAATAATAATAGAGTTGCGAAACCATACCATTTTGTGGTCTTTCTCCCTCCTCTCAGCATCAAACTGTAAACATTTTTCCATATTTCCATCTTCAGAATGATTATTTTTAGAGGCTGTGGAATATAATCATTGATACATAATTTTCAGCAAGCCACTTAAAAATCTCTGGTGGACAAAAAGCTCTTAATGGTGGTCACCTCTGGGCCAAGTGATGGAAGTGGGGCCCCTTTTACTTTTCAATGTAGAACTTTCTGTGCTATTTGTTTTTAAACTGTATACATATACTTTACTTTTCATTTTAAAAGTAAGTAAAAAATTTTTTTGGATTAAAAAAACCTTGACCTCTGAAAAAAATATTCCAGAAAGGAGGACCCTCATCTTTCAATGTTGTTCAAGGTCATTGGACTTGGAGACAGAAAACCTGGATTTTAGTGCTTGAGCGAGTCACCGACTTTGTTTCTGTCATCTGAAAAGTGGAGCCAGTTTACTTCTTCCGTCACTTCATTTTGAGGATCTGAACAGCATGTGTGTCTAAAAGCTCTTGACAAACTGTAGAATCACCTGGATATGGAGGAAAACATACCCTAGGAAGCACAATAAAGTTTGGGCACCAAGGATATCCAAAGACTAATGTCAGAGCACCTGGGCCAACGTAAGCTTGGCTATGGCACCCCCAGGCACTCCTGGTAGCTTTTTGGGACTCAAGGACAGAAAATATTCCTCCCTGAAGTTAGGAGTGACTCATGGGAGGAAGAATTTATCTTAGTTTTTTTCCCTATTCATGAGGGAGTTTTTCTTAGAATTCTTTATCTGCCCTGATAGCTGGAAATAGAGTATGTATTACAAAAACAAGATATCTATTAGCCCAACACTTCTCATAAGTGTTTCTAGACTTTGTTTATAGCTTATTTTAGGAGTTGTGTGTTACTTATTTGTGACTAACAACGGTGAGGCAAATATTAATGAGGCTATCACAGTCTACTATGACGTGCTGTCATAAAGCATTACAAATTGGCTACTCTGGAAAGTAAACCAATCAAGGGCATTTTAAAGGCAGCAGTAACCTTGGAATATATACATTTTTTGCTCACTATGCTCATTAGCTAATCTACTGAATCATACTTAACAACATTCCATTGTAATCAACTAATAGGGCCCTTCAATTGAAGCAATTTTATGAGACGATATAGAGACATGGGAGGGGAGGGACGGGCATCAGGATTAATCATCACAATTTCAAGTGGCCGAGTGTGTAGAGCCAGGAAACAATGGCTCAGGTGCAGCTGGGGACTCTCCTTTTTTGGCTGCTGCAGGGGGCAGGATGGAACAAGGACCTGGGAAGGAAATACTTCCCTTGATGGCAGGACTCTCCCACTTCCGGGCACAGAGGGGTCACAAGCCCCACTTTGAATACGAGAACACAGACATGGAGAGGAGCAATGTTTTAACCAGTAACTCAGGCCTGTAGTGGCCGCCCTCGGGCTAAAACCCAGGCCTTTTCACCACCAACCCTGAGGTTGGGGATTCTCTTTCTAAGTCACCATGTCTCTCCCTATCCCCTGCTCTGCCTCTTCTATTCCACCAGGAAAGTCTCGCAGGGCTAGAGAATCTGTAGGGGACCCTCGGCACAGGGTCCTCAGGAGGTCCGTCTTGAGGGAGGAGGTCATGCATTAACACGTAGGCTTGGAGTTGGTGTGAGGCAGCCTCTCAGACAATGAAGAGGCAGGGAACAGGAGATTTGGTTGGTGGGGACCCAAGTTGCTGGAGGGCCCTGAGGAGCTGCAAGGAGGCAGAGAGGGGAAGATAAGAAGAGAGAGGACATGCAAGGGTACCATTTCCCAGGGCTCTTAATGGGTAACCCTTTACATGCGCTGAAATGTATTAGGTTTTATGCAATAAAACATCTTGGCCATTGGATGTAGGGGAAGTCTAGTTCCTTTCCTACCTAGAGATTTGAAAACAAAAGATTCACCTTGATCACTTAATCCTACCCTTCCTGGTAGTGTTTTGGAGATGCCATGAAAATTCATTTTGGGTGACTCTAGCACTCTCTCTTGGTTTAAATTAGCAACTGCACTACCCCACCAGATAAATGTTCTTTATGGGGCTAAATGAAGCAGGGAGGAGAAAAAGAACTGTATTGGGGTGAAAAGGGGTCAATTCTCCCTCAAGTTATATGGGCTAATTTAGATAGAACCACCTGGCACCAAGCCTGCCATGCAAGAGGTTCTTGGTGATGTGCTAGCTGTGTCAGGGTCAAGGTGGACTCCATCTGGGCTGGAGAGATACAATTATGATGTTGCTAAAGTTTCTCTCCACTCCAGGGCGGGGCTGGGGTTTCCCTCCCACTGGACTCTCTAGCACTCAGACTTGCTTTTGGGAATAGATCTGATCAACCTTTGCCCACTAAGGTGTAAACAGCTTAGAGCAGCAGTCCACAGGTACTCGGGGAGGAACCTCCAGGTATTAATAGCTGCTCCTTGGCAAACAGCGTTCCATAGTGAAATACGTTTGTAAAGAATCATTACCATGCTCCCCTCCTGGGGATTCACAGTTCACGCTGTATATTAGAGGCTCAGAGGAGTCATGTGATAAGGAAACTGCCTTAGCTTTGTTTAACCCGGCATTTCACGGACCTCTTTGACTGCAGAATCCTCTTCTTTTCATGGAATATCTATTATCATCTTAAATAAAGCTTGTAGGAATGGAGCATGACTCTCAGGCATTTGAATCTTTTTATTTTTATTTTATTGTGGGGGGAACACTTGGCGTGTGACCTACCCTCTTGACAGATTTTAAATGTACCATACATTATTGTTGACTCCTGCCATACAATGTTGCGCAGCAGATGCCTAGAGCTTGTTCATCTTACTTAACTGAAACTCTCTGCCTATTGATTAACAACGCCCCATTTCCCCCTCACCCCAGCACCTGGTAACCACTGTTCCAGTCTTTGATTTTATGAATTTGACTATTTTAGATACTCATATACATGGAATTGTGCAGTACTTGTCTTTCATATTCTTAACTGGGGATAAAAATATGAATCTTTAATTGTGGTATTTCAGCTAAAGGGCCAGGGGGTGTAAGCCAAACACTGGACTCTAGAAATCAAGTGCATTGACACTACCTAGAAGACAGCTTCTGCTAAGGCCTTCTAGTTCACCTCCTGGCCCTGAGGCGAGCTGGTTTCCCTCACCCATAACTCACCTCTCCTTTCCACTCCTTCCAGGCAGACATTTTCTCTGGGGCCATATTCATCAACTTGGCCTTGGGCTTGGATCTGTACTTGGCCATCTTTCTCTTATTGGCAATCACTGGCATTTACACAATCACAGGTGAGTCACTCGCATGATTTGGCTCAAGTGGGAAGGTGTTAGGCAAGTGGGAAGGATGAATGGAAGTAGGAAACAAAGCTTCTTCTCTTGAGGAAGAGAGATACACCCAGGAAACAGTTCAAGGATAGGTATTTGCTTGGTCCCAAATCACAGACTCAACAAGTCATATAGGTTGCCCCAGAAAACTCCAGTGTTGGCTGGAATAGTCAAGACAGCTTCTTCCAGAAAGTGGGGCAAGGTTTGGCCTTGCAGATTGTGGAGGGAACTTGGCTAAGTTGGGAGAATAAGGGAGGGAGTGCCAGGTGCAGGAACAGGTAAGAGTAAGGGATGGGGCAGAAATGGGCATGACATGATGCAGAGGCAGGATGAGCAGCAGTGCTTTTAGCTGGAGGAGGGTGGTCAATGGGAAGTAGTTGGGGGTGTATGTGTGGGTGATAGGGCCTGATAATGCAAGTGAGGCCACAAGGCAAGGGCCTTGGAAGCCAGACCGAAGCCTTGGATTTGATGTAACAGGGACTGGGAGGCACTATGGGGAAGAAAGAAGTGAGTAACACATACGAAGAGATTTTAGAGGAAGACTCAAGAGGTGACTGGAGAAGCTGATGACATGAGTAACAGTTGGGGGCACCTTTGAGGAGGCATTACTCTGTCCAGTCAAGGGGCCAGGGTCAGTGACGGAACTTGCTGTTCAGCTGGAACCTCATATGAGCTTTGGGGACAGGAAGTATGTAGAATGATCTGAGAACAGAGTCAACATACAAGTAGCCCTTTAAATGTGTTGATTTGGTAATGTCCCCAGACATCTTGTAGAGATGTCAGCTCTTCGCTCTTCCTTGCCTTCACTTGTGGAAGGTGCCTTTTCTTACCACAGAAGAGATATCTCCTGGCTGAAAAGGATCACATTGAGCTCTCCCTTCTCAATAAGGAAAAACATTTCTCCTTTCCTCAAGGTCTTCCCAGCATTTCTGCAAAGAGTGGAGATGTTGGATCATGCTGGGTGGCAGACTAATGTAATAGGATAAGAGAAGGAAGGAGGGAAGTGCAGGCAGATAGATGACGGAGGGGCAAGCTCAGAAGGTGTGCACAGGGAGAGGGGCAGCAGTGGGGACAGGAGGCAGGCTGACTGGTTTCTCTCCCACGTGAGGTCAGATATGTTGTCTCCTTATCTGCTTAGGGGGCCTGGCAGCTGTGATCTACACGGACACCTTGCAGACAGCGATCATGCTCGTGGGGTCTTTTATCCTGACTGGGTTTGGTAAGTGGGGCTGGGGCAGGCTGAGGAGGCAGAGGTAGAGGCCCAGGGAGAGAAAATTGAGTCCAGTTTCTCTGCCTGCTTTCCCCAGGGGAGTGGTCCAGCCAAGATTGGCCATGACTGTGGGTATGCAGGGGGCACCTTCCTCAGCCCTGGAGGTCTCAGGCTGACCCTGGCCCAGACAACACCTGCATTCCCTGCTGCCTTCTCTAGACAGTCTGGGCCAGTGGTCCCCACCGTGGGCCTGTGATGATGTGGTCTTTCCTCCACAGAGAAACTGGACTAAAAAGGGATAAGACTAAATACCCATCAGGCTAAATATATTCGAACGTTGTGTCTTAAATCTCAGATTATATCTTGTCTACATTTTGGTGTTAAATGTCCTTTCTTTTTATGAATTGATGACAGTAAGTGATCATTTTCTTGTTTATGTCCCTATTTAACAAAATTTTAAAACCCAGCCACTCTATGTTGGTCCCTCCAGCCCCTAATTTTGTAAAATTTTTTCTGTCTATGAAATCCTCCAGATAAGACTAGAAACCCTAGATCTAGAGGCATTTGTTATGGGAGAATATAAATTACATTTCATTTTGAAGGTGCCCAGGCTCTCTGTGTGTCCTGTGAAGCCTCTTATCTGCTTTCTGTACTCTGTTTTCCAAGAACTTCCATTGGGTTTTCCTCAGCAGTCCCCAGGGGGGTCAGCAGGGCAAGGACTGGAATGCCTTATTCAAGGACAGAGTCGACAGGTGGCAGGGCTCCAGACTCCTCACCCATCCTCTGTCCATCCGTCCACATGCCTGGGACCAGGGGTGGTAGGGCCTAGTGTGTGTGTTTCTAGGTCTGTGTCTGGGGTTCCAAAGGCCACTGCTGGCAGGAGGGGTTGAGGGGAAAAACAGAGTTTTTGTACCTGGTTCAAAACCAAGGTCTTTCTTTTAGTAATTTAAATACCTTCCCTTAATAGAGATGTTTATGGTTCGAGTCCTTTCACAGGTTATTGCTTTGGATCCTCAGTAGCCCCTGAGGGGGCTAGGCAGGGTTAGTAATCCCATGTTATGGATGAGAAAGCCGAGGCCCAGAAAGTGACTTGCCCAAGACCACGCAGGGAGGGGCTCTGGCTACGGGTCAGGTCCTCTCAATTTCTCAGGCATCCACAGGAGGAAACTGCTGTGAAGAGTTGAGAGTTTCAGGAATGTTGATTTTTATTACCTATGTCTTTCAGCTTTTCATGAAGTGGGAGGGTATGAGGCCTTCATGGAAAAGTACATGAAAGCCATTCCAACTGTGGTTTCTGATGGAAACGTCACCATCAAAAGTGAATGCTACACCCCAAGGAACGACTCCTTCCACATCTTCCGAGATCCCCTCAAGGGAGACCTGCCATGGCCTGGGCTCATTTTCGGGTTGTCCATCCTCGCCCTGTGGTACTGGTGCACAGATCAGGTACCCACGCTGGAGGTGCAGGGTGGACAAGGTTTTCCCAGGGTGCTGTAGGGACTCCTGTCTGTCTGTGGCTTGCAGGGTTGGGAAAGGTAGGGCAGGGCTCACATGGTCCGGGAGTCACTGAACTTTGGTAACATGGGAGTGCCAGGCCAAGGGCCCAGGATGCAGGGGAGGGGATCTGGGGTAGCCAGAAGGTGTCATGACCTGCACCTCACCGGGCTTTTCCTGGCAGGTCATTGTGCAGCGCTGCCTCTCAGCCAAAAACATGTCTCACGTGAAGGCCGGCTGTGTGATGTGTGGGTACCTGAAGCTGCTACCCATGTTCCTCATGGTGATGCCAGGAATGATCAGCCGCATCCTGTATACAGGTGATACCTTCTGCTGGACTCAGTGGCCACACTCTTCCATTCCCAGCTCTGAGTCACTTCTAAAGCCCTGCAGCTCCCTGCTCCTTCCTTTCTTTCTCCTTGCCTCCTAGATTTTTTACATTTTGGAAGTATGACCCAATAGCCTTCCCACTGGGGAATTCCCTCAGTTGTGTGGGCGTTCAACCCTACTTTCAAGAGCTGCTTAAAATAAGCTTCAAAACCAGGAGCCACAAGTCACTGTGTTCTACAGGCAAATAAGACAATTGCTCCCCTGAGCTGCCGGGGAGCTTGCTAAAGTCTAAGGAGTGTGTCTCCTCCCTTCCCACTCTGAGCATTTCTTTGCTTCCCCTTCCTCTGCCTAGGAACTGTCTCTTCTCCCCAGTCAGAGCTTGGAGATGGTCAGGATCAGCAGGGCAAGGGCCTGGTGGCAAAGGGCTCAGCCAGGAGCTGCACCCTTTTGTGGAACCACTTCAGGTCCTTGGTCAGGAATGTCTTGTTTGAAGCCTTGTTATAAGAAGGTGAATCTTGAAAGTATTTCCCTGATGTCTGCTTGCTGACATGGCTCTGCATCTCTCTCCAGAAAAAATTGCCTGCGCCCTCCCCTCAGAATGTGAGAAATACTGCGGCACCAAAGTTGGCTGTACCAACATCGCCTACCCAACCCTGGTGGTGGAGCTCATGCCCAATGGTGAGATCCGTCCCCCCTGGTGGGGTCTTTCCTGGGAGGCTGAATGGGCTTGGGCTTTCCATGGATTCTGTGCACCTTCTGGGCAAAGCCATCTCCCAGCCTGGAGGTCAGTAGGGAAAGCCTTGTTCCAGGTGTCCTCAGTTTTTGAACAGGTCTTTCCTTAATGGGAAGGAGACATAGGACTCATTTGTGTTCTCAGACCTGGCACTTGTCTGTCAGTCAGGCTTAGAAAGGAGATGGTCTGAAAACACGGCTTTTTCCATGAAGGTCTTTCAAAGCTTTCCAGCAGACATTGACATGACGGCTTGAACTAAGTGGAGTTTTACCTGGAGAATGAATTGATTTCTAGACTGTTCCAAGAAAAAATTTGCAGAGAAAGGCAAGGAGTGATTTTAGCTCTAGAATGAGGACATTTGAGACAGTCAATGGATGGGATACAAGGGGGCTTCTCACTATAGAGAATGTGTTATCCTAGAAGATTGAGGACATAGAGTCCAGATTAGTTAGAGTTTTGGGGTAGACCTGTGGGGTTACTTATCATATTTCATATTGAAGAAAATTATAATTCTGGCTCAAGAGATGCAAATTTAGTTAGGTTAGGAGGTCTCAGGAGATCAAAAATTCAAAGATGTATTGATCAGGAAAATTTAGAATAAACTTCTATAAAATTTTATTACTGAAAGACAATGTAGAGATCATCTAGTCGAACCTCTTCATTTTATAGTGGGGGAACTGAGGCCCACGGAAGGAAAGTGACTTTTCCAAGTCACACAGCAACTCAGTGTCTGGCTTGTTTAACTCTGCTCAAGGCTGGAATTGAGGAATTTGGGATGGTCTTAAATTTTTTTTTTTTTTTAAACCACAGACTGGATGCATGACCTTGGGCAAACCATTTGGATTCAAATTTTATAAACATGGGAGTAATAGTTAACTACTCCACTTAGCTGGGCTGCTTATTAATTAAGGTTGCAATTAGTAAGAGTCACATGGCTCTTTTAGAGTTCTGGCTTGGATTACACTGGGCTCTGTATGGTGTTTATGCCATTTCTTTAGATTAGCAGACAGACCCTAGGTGAGGACTGTGGCTCTGCACATCATGCTAGAGCGGACTATATATGACAGAAAGAGGCGTGGCATGCAGAACTGTGTCTGAGGCTATAGAGGGGCAGATATCAGACTAGTCAGGACTGCCCAAGAGGAGGCAGACTCCCTGTGGGTAGTGAATTTCCTGTTGCTGGAGGGTTTGGGCAGAGAAAACATGGCAGAGGTTCATGTATCAGACGGATGGTAGACCCAGGTGAGCCCTAAGTTTACTTTTTATTCTGAGATGGTGTGTTCGATGGTGGATTGTCTTCTCACTTTCTTGAATCCTAGTTTAAATATTTATGCTATATCATGAATTTTTTGGTGAGAGATCTTATAAAAGTCCCCTCAAATGGAAACACACCCACACACACACACACTATCACCATCACCGTCACCATCACCACCATCATCACCACCATCATCACCACCATCATAATCCAACTACAAAGTGTTAACCTCATATATATTTTGTCCCTACCTCTTTGTTGACTGCTGTGGGTTTACAATATAATGTAAAGCCACAGTCAGTTCCTTAAAATGTCCAGTCTTTCTGGAGAGATAAATCAAAGGCCAGCCATGGCACAATTTCAGAAGGCAAACAAATGTTGAATCCTCACATGTTCCAAATGCAAAAGAGCTGAGTTACTCTCTGTACCACTCAGAACCTCCTTCTCTTCTAGGACTGCGAGGCCTGATGCTGTCAGTCATGCTGGCCTCTCTCATGAGCTCCCTGACCTCCATCTTCAACAGCGCCAGCACCCTATTCACCATGGACATCTACACCAAGATCCGGAAGAGAGCAACCGAGAAAGAACTCATGATTGCAGGAAGGTAAGTGCAGCTTCCACCTGCCATGCACCAGGGAAGCTTGAATAATTACAATTTCCCTCAAGCTGGGGAAGACTGGTAGATGCTCGGGTAGAACAGGAGTAATCTCTGTGGCTAGTTATATTTGCCCTCCAGTGGCATCAACTTTAAACTGGAGATCATCAGAGAATGCCCCTCGAGTGAGAAGTGACATCAGAGATCGTCTAATCTAACCCTCAATTTATCAATGAACAACATGAGGCTTGTCCTGTCTAAATCTAGGCAGCTGGGACAATGGCAGAGCCAGCACTGGAACTCACGGCCAACTGAGTCCTTGTCCAAGGCTCTTTATACTGCTCCATGCTGTGCTCCTCAGGCCTCCACACTGCAGCTCTCCTCGCTGGAGATCTTTGAGGTCCAGATGCCTCCGATGCCTGGACCCTTTGCTGTAAAATTTGCAGGAGCATTGTGAGAGTCAAGTGGTACTATACTTGGGAACCTGTAAATCTAAAATATGAGTCTATGTGCACATTTGTTATTATCAATGGACTAATGGACACAAGAGGATACGGAAAGCAGTAAGCATTGAAACATGGGTCAGGCATGCTCATTACCATGGTTATCCATGGATCAGATGGTCTGAATAGAGGACTAGCAGGAGCTCTGCTGTGTCTCTCCATGGGGCTATGGTAGGTCAACTTCCTTAGGGCAGGTGGAACAAGTTCCTGGATGTTAGCCAAAGGTTCCCAGTGAGTGCAGGAAAGGTAAGGGCTCCACCTCATAGGTTTCATGATCGAGATTAGGGCAAAGGAAGGAAAGGAAGGGTCACTCTCAGGTGACAAGACATCTGGCATTCAGGAGAGGTCTGACCCGGCCGAAGTCTCTACTGTCCTTCACAGGAAGCAACACCATCACCCTGACTAATTTTCCCTTAGAAAGGAGTTTACTAGCTTTTCCTGTTATTTGTAAGGCTCAATATGCAATATGGGAAGAGAACCATTTTGTTGCTTTGCTCAGGGCTGGACCCATGGCCCTGAGATTATGTTGGGGCTCGCATTTTTATGCATCCTACGACTGCCACCCCGGGGACTGTCCCTGTCCTAGATAAGCTTACGGTTATTTGAAACAAACTTTGCTGTGGGGACTGGAAGAGTGATCAAGGGCTCAGAGAAAGGAGAGGTGAGTGTGGCATGCCGTAGTTGGGAAGGGCTCCTGGGAGAGGGCGACCCTTAGCTGAGTCCGCAATGGTGGGTAGGATTTGGGTAATAGAGGGGGCAGTGGGAAGGGTGTTCCAGAGGGAGAAATATGTGAGTGAAAACACTGCATTGTGAAGGTTAGTTTCAGACTTTTTTGCCTTAAACTTAGGTAAGGGAGGCAAGGGAATCACAGCCTCTTTCTTAATAAATCAAGAGCACAAGTAAGGGCACTTATAAGGGAACCCTCCAATCTTTTCAGGATTTGAAGTGAAACTGAGTTGGAGGAGAGAAAGAAGTACCTGGAAGTGTCCCTTTCTATCTAGACTTTTCCTTTTTAAACTCTTCTTGGCTTATGATTTTAACTTTATTATGAAGGAGAAAGAGGAGAAGAAGATAATTATTATAGCCTTTACTATTTATTGAGTGCTAACTTCTTGTGTATCTATTTACCTACTATTTGTTTTACTATAGCTAATCCTTATTTCAACCTTGCAAGATAAGTCATATTATTCCCAGTTTACAGATGGAGAAATGGAGACTCTGAGAGGTAAAGCAAGGTGTCTTATGTCACAGAGAGAGAAGAAAAATCTGAATCCAGGACTGCCTGGGTCCAAAGTTCACACCCTTGTTTCTACACCCCTCTGCCTCTCAAAGCGGGATACTCTTATGGTACTGGCTGGTTTAGGTTACTAGTGAAAGTCAAGTGCGTTTCACTTACTCATAGGTATAGAAGACTTTCCCGAGGAGGCAGAACATGGGAGAAAAAAGCCTCAAGAATGAATTTGCTAATTATGTTTCCTTGTTATGGTCATATTTTGTTTCTACATATCTATATCTATATCTCACTCTCTCTCTCTATAAATATATATATTTGCTAGTTTTATATATATGGGGTGGGCAAAATTATATTTACAATTGTGAGTATACAAAACAGAGTTTATTCACGTTCTTATATTATTATTACCTATTTACTAATTATTGTATTATTTGCCTTCTTCTTACTGTTATTATTTTATATCCTTACTAATGATTTATCTTTTAGGTAATGATAGCTAGTAATTGAACCTACTTTTGCCTACTCCTGTATATTTATTTATTTATTTATGTAGAGCCAATTATTGACACTCTGTTGTTGGGGCTTTGATTTCAGATTGTTCATCCTGGTGCTGATTGGCATCAGCATCGCTTGGGTGCCAGTGGTACAGTCAGCACAAAGTGGGCAGCTCTTCGATTACATCCAGTCCATCACCAGTTATTTGGGACCACCCATCGCAGCTGTCTTCCTGCTTGCTGTTTTCTGCAAGAGAGTCAATGAGTCGGTAGGTATCGTTCATGTCCAGCCAGAAAAGCCCATTCTGGCACAGAAATTCCCACCTGGATTTTCCCGCCTGTTCTCTGTGGGAGGGATTCTGTTCCCCAGAGATCTCAAGTGGGAATGGATGTGTTGCCGAGGGTTTGTATGGGAATGCTTCCAGGGACCATGGGACTCTCATGGGTTCACATTCTCTTGGACTCCCCTCTCCTCCTTACTGCAGGTTCCAAACTAATTCCTGACTAATGACGTACATTTCCATGGTGCCCACTGAAGGCCTGACAACACTCCCAGCCATATTCTGAGCTCCAGTGTTCTGGCTTCCTAGACCTGGAGCTATCAGTTTTCTCACCTTTAGTCTTCTGCCTCTGTCCCTCAGGAGTGTGTTCAGCATTTGGTAACCCAAGGTTCTCTTTCACAGGGAGCCTTCTGGGGACTGATCTTAGGATTTCTGATTGGGGTGTCCCGTATGATTGCCGAGTTTGCTTATGGGACTGGGAGCTGCATGGAGCCTAGCGACTGTCCCACGATTATCTGTGGGGTGCACTACCTGTACTTTGCGATCATCCTGTTTGTCATTTCTGTCATCATCATCTTGATCGTCTCCCTCTTCACCAAGCCCATTCCAGATGTGCATGTGAGTATCCACTTGGAAGACCTGTCCTGTCTGTGTTTCACATTCGGGCTGCAGTACCTACCTTGGCTGTCCTTGGCTCAGTTAGACAGCTCACACTCATATGACTATAAATTGCCCTTGGTGCCCTGTAGAAGGATACAGGGTAGGAAGCTTGGTGTACCAGCCAGGCAGTATCAATCATGAGTCTTCAGCAGGAGTCCTTGAGCACTCTACACCTCCATCCAGGGGATATCCTTTGAAGCACGGTCTCTAAGTAGTTGCCCATAGAATTCAAGAAATTTCAAACAATACCAAAGTCTTGATTCAAGACTTCAAAAATGGCAAGTACTCTTCTTTAGCTTTAGATGTTGCCCTCCCAATGCAGGTGAAGGTGACCAATTATAGGACATTTTCACCATAAGCAATGTAGTCTGTAACCCAATGAAGCTGGCATTCTACCTTTTTCAGGTTTCCAAGGAACAGAGCTAGAGAGTTAACCCAAGGTCTTATTTTCCCATAGAGAAAGACAAAGGGTTTTGTTAACCCATTACACATACATAAATACAGGGACTTAAAAAATCCGTAAGAGACCTTCAACCTCATTGCCAAATTTTCAAAGCCGTGAGCAGCCTTAATGTCAAACAAAAACTGTTTTTTTTAGAAGCAGAACCACCGTGTTTATTTGCTGAGTCTGTCACAAGCTTTCTGTTGTATTAATTCTTCTTGACATCTCAGTCTTTGGAAGTATTGCAGCACCAAACACATTTAGGCTTCATGCTTCTTCTTGCAGCATGGTTGGGATGAACACACTGCATTGATTTTCAGACCTCTTCAAGTTTCTGGTTTCACGTCAATAGAGACTGTGCCTCCAGTTCTTCCTTATTCTAAATGGCTCATGATTCTACAGATTTTCTCCCCATATTATGACAAACACACAGTACAAAAATATGATCTTATACTGCTAGTCTGGACAGATGGGTATCTAGTCTTATTTCCCAGAACGAGTGCTAAAAGGAACAAATTCATTTATCATATGTAGCAAGAGTTCATTCATTCAAAACATTTCCGTATTCAAGGCAGCCTCTTAGCCTCAGAATATGCATATATCATAGGGGCTAGTGTTTACATGTATATGATTTACATCTAAGTTCCCAACATATTTAGATATGATGCTATGGATGGGAACTGTTATCTGTGTTCTTATTGGTACTGAGAGACCACATTCCTCTTTCTTTCTTGATGCATATCTTGTTGTTTTCCCAACTTCTTGGCCCAAGACACTGTTTGGATCTTTCTGCTGACCTGCTTTCTCCACAGCTCTACCGCCTGTGTTGGACCCTGCGCAACAGCAAAGAGGAGCGTATTGACCTGGATGCAGGCGAGGAGGACATCCATGAAGCACCAGAGGAGACCCTTGAAATAGGTGACTCATGATTCAGAGGCTATTCCTAAGCCCTAAAAATTACCTCTACAACAGCAAGACCATTTTACTGAAACCTTCCCTAAATGCCTTCATCAAAGCTCAGATCTCTCTCCTAGAGGAGAGTGGGGAGCAGAGTGGGGAGGGGTGAGATGAATAAATGGGTTTTGGGATATTCACTCAAAGCTCGGTAAAGGGGAGGAGGGAGGCACAGAATCATTTCAGCACTCTCACCCCTCATAGTTTACAGTGCTCAGTGATTAAGGCTGGTTGAAGGATTTACCACCCTGACTTGATTTGGGGCATGACCAGGGACAAGGGAAGAGTCAGAGCTCTTCTGGCATAGCCTGTGAACTGAAAGATGGAATCAAAGCTATGGTTAGTCCTAATGACATAAGAGGGATGGGATAGAGGTTCAGGAGTCTTTTGTCTTACTGGCTAACCACATCAGATTTAGAAAATCAAATTTCTCAGGAAGTCCAGTGAGATAATCCTTAGTCAGTGTTCAGAGACTCATCCTGATCATGGAGAGATACTTGCCTCAACTTCTATGTTGCAACTTTCCTTCCCTATGTGGAGGATGGTGGTGGAGATGTGTGGTGTACAGAGGTGTAGGAGCTCAGGGTCGTATGTTCTCTACCTGGTGTTGAGCAGAAGGTCTCATCACTCCATCTGAAGGGAGCACAGATATAGCAGAATAAGTTCTGAATCTGGCCATCAGGAATATCACAGAATCCTAGCTCTGGAAAGGGCACGAAGATTATTTGGTCTTATCACCTCATTTTAAAATCACATGAATTGAGACCGTGCAATGGAGAGGTTTTGCCTTTGGTCCCAGGTCTGATACAATCTGTTTTTGATCTCTAAAGACCTTTCAGTTCTGAAGCCTGTGCTTCCACAGGTGCTGAAGGAGTCTGGTGCCATAGGCAGCTGAGCCTGGTACTGAAGAAGGCAGCCCCTCCCTGCTTCACCAGAGCAGGCATGCCCCTCCTTCTCCCACCTCCAAAAATGTCCCCACATTGAGTGAGAATATAACAGATTTTAAAGGGACATGCATAAGGAGTATTTTGAATATTTTAATGTGTCAGAAGAGATTATTATTTTTTTCCACCAGAGGGCAGAGTTAAGACATGGTTGGAAAGAACTCATCCAATTTTAACTCAAGAGGTAAGATAGTGTAGAGAGAGAATATAGGATTTAGATTCAGGAAGAACTGAGATTGAATCCTGACTTCGCCACTTGGAGAAGTGGCAAGTGATTCCATTTTTCTAAAGTGCAGGCTCATCACTTAAAAGGATTCTAAATGGTAGCCTATACTTCACATCACCATTGGAAACACTGAATGAAATAATGCTCCACAATAGAATTGGCTGTAATTATACCATTATGATTGCAACTAAGGAAAAATTTTCTGAGTTTCTCTGGAGAGGGGTGAGCAGCAAGTGTGCAACTATTAGAGATGCACAGGAGAGACTCCCACACCGGCTAGAGAATTGGCTTAGTGACTCCTGAAGTTCGTGGCAGTACTTGAATTCTATTGTTTCTTGGCAAAATCATGGTGGAAACCATCCTGAACACCCTTCCCTTTAAGTAAAATAAACTAAGACCTCTAGAGGGCTTTTATAGACAAGGGGTGTCACCCTCATCATTCCCCATGCAACAGCAGTGTGAGAATTCGCTCCTTTATCATTGTCATCACCACCACCATTGTCATGGTAGAGAATACAATCACAGTGTATTTTAATTATGAATCCCTACTCTAGTGCAGTGTTTCATTTTGGTACCACAACATCTTTTCAAAACAGACAATGCAAGTATAGTTCTTCCACTTTTATAGATGAGTCAAATGAGACATGGCAACTTTCTCAAGACCACCCAACCTTTTAATGGCCCAAACAACCATGAGTTTCTCACTTGAGCTAGTCAGCAAGCCTTTCCCATTCTCCTGTTTTGGTTAAGTGGACCAAAGTGTAGGGGTACAAGGAGGCTTGTCTCTCTTTCTTATATTTGTGATAGTGAAACGAGAGACAGGAGACTAACACTTCTTGACACCTACTAGGTACTGGGCCCTCTCTCATTCAAACTTATAACGCAGGAGGTATCATTTACCCAGTTTTACAGATACAGAAGATGAGAGGTGAGTCAATAAGGTCCTAACACTGGGTTTTGGTTCCAGTTGTTGATCACTTACTGAGGTTCTTTCCAGTTCTAAAATTCTGTGATGTAAAGGTGGGAGAGTAGAGAGCAGCTGTCCCTGATCATGGTGCTGAAAACACAGTTGGCTTCATTTCCTATTTAGTGAGTTATAGACCTGGCATTCTAACTCTGGTCCGTCTATCTCCAATGCCATACCTGGACTCAGGTGAGAGAATCAGTTCCCTTGGTGGGCATCCGCTTTGAACGGCAGGCCAGTTGGATGGTTTAATTTAGCAGTGTTGATATGCAACATCAGATTTTAAGCCCTGGAAGCGTCGATCACTGCTGCCCTGTTCAGACCAGTTCTTACTACATGGCTGAACCTGTTGTGAAGCCTTAGAATTTCCAGGTGTAACCAATGAACTCCCAAGTCATGAAATTCTCATCGCATTTCAGTGATGTAGCAAACAGATATGTTTATATGTTTCAGAGGTGTCGCAGCTTCCCAGCCCATTGTTAACATTTATCTCCCATGAACTATTCCCTGTTGGCTTCTGATGGTTCTAAGTCAAAAATGTATTTGCATTTGGTCTGACAGAGATAAAAATGTATGCTGGCTGATCATAAGGATGCAGAATCCATCTATTAACATTACCTTGTAATTAACTAAGTTCACATGAACATTTTGTACCATCTCAATCCCTGTGAATAAGACACTTAGGAAGTCCCTGCAGAATGGCAGCTGGTCATGGCATGGCACTTCCCCGGCCCCTGAAAACCTACTTTAGTCCCTCCTGCTTCTGTATCCAACAATTCTTTCATTCCTTTTCCCCAACACAGAAGTTCTCGAGGAGGAGAAAGGATGCTGCAGGAAAGCCTATGACCTGTTTTGTGGCCTGGACCAGCAGAAGGGCCCGAAGATGACCAAGGAAGAGGAGGCAGCCATGAAGCTAAAGCTGACAGACACGTCCGAGAAGCCCCTGTGGAGGACAATTGTGAACATCAACGGCATCATCCTGCTGGCCGTGGCCGTCTTCTGCCACGCGTTTTTTGCCTGAGTCCCTCCCTTTGCTGCAGACTGTGCTCATGAAGGCCCGGCTATTTACTTTGCCTCCTGTTGGTCCCGTTCTGCACCGTTGAAGGGAAACCAGCCAGTTGTAAATTCTGCCCAGTTGATAAATGTGTACTTGTGTTAATTATAGGATAGCTGGATAAAAACAATTAATTTGCTCTGAACTTAGTATTTGAGGCCAGTATGATACAATCAGCTGAACATATTAGAGCTGCAGAAGAAAAGTCCACTCATTCATGAAAACGCAGACTGAGAAAGAGAAGCCCGTGACGTCGGATGCGAGTTCATCTCAGTGCGTCAACATTGTTTGTGACCCTGGAGTCGTATTTTCCAGCCGTGGCCTCCCTGTTTCCTGCCACTTTCCCTATCTGACCCTAGTAATCCTTTTTTTTAAAAAGAAAAATTTTATTCCTCATCATATCCCTGTCCAGTTTTTATTGGGGGGGCACAAGAAAAATCAATCTGATAAACTGATGAATGCATCAAAGCTGAGGATGGGAGCTTGATGGTCCCTATCCTGGGTGTTTGCTCTTTGAAGGAGAGCCTGAGAGTACAAAGCGGCACAAAGCCAGGTGGAAATAATGCTATCACAATATTGTCATTTTTACCATTTCGGAAGGTCCTAGAAAAGACAACAAACCAGCTACTGCCAACAAGGTAATCTTTCCAAAGTAGTCAGTCAAAAGTAATAATACTGAATAAACCATCAACAAATCTCAAGGCCAGTGGGGGAACAAAGATAATCTTGAGTCAAGAGGATTTTCTGGTCTTCTTTGAAATGTCCACTGGGGGTTCCTTGTGTTTGGGATTTCACTCATTTTGGCATTTGCTGTGCCTGGAATGTTTTAGTCACTCAGCAATGTTTGTGGACAGAATGAATAATATAGGCATTATTTCTAAACACATCCTTTATTTTTGGTTAAGCTTTTCTGTGGCTGCACAAAAGACACGCTGTGGTGACTATCATGACTTGGAATACATTTTGCAGAGGCCACTCTTCCTCATGGTGTGGATGTTGACATATGGGCTTAGAAGTTGACTCCGTGTCACATCACAGAGCAAATGCGCCTCTTGTGGGCATCTGTCATTTCCAAGCAGCCATGCTCTCCTGAAATATTGAAACAATTAGCCTGAGATCCTCCACCCCATGAGTTCACCCAACCACAGCCCTTACTCTTTTCAGTTGTCTAGATTGGTGACCATCCATTGGCCAAGGTTATGGCAGGTGGTCTCTGTTCTGGGTGGTAGTGCTCAACACTTTTAGCTGAGCAGACTGTGTTTCTTGTTGAACTTACTTGTTTCCTAGGGAGAGATTTTTAAATTTAATGAGTTAAATATAATTCCTTCAATTCCACTTGTGAAACCTTAATTATCTGGCAATATAATCTCATTAAAGTGAAGAAAAATTCATGATGTTAGCACTGACTGATTTCAGGCAAGCTTGGAAAAGAGCTGGGATCTGAGAGGATCCATGGAGCTGAGAGTGATTCCTGGATGTAAAAAAGCTCCAGTGGGTGAAAGAGTGGCTTATTCTTGTGGAAGGAAACCCAGAGATCACTATTTGGTGTGCCCTCATATTCCCCTTAAGCTAGGAAGAGGAAAAGTGGAGAATTTCACACGGCTAGCAGTGCTCAGCGTATTCAGTTTTGTGTGAAGTTTGTGGTATTTTTGAGCTTTGAGAAGATAAAGGGAGAAGACTGATAGCTGGTGGATAGAGTGGGCACAAAGTGTCTAGATTGTCTGGATTCTGTGTCTGGCTTTGCCAATGATTCATTGAGTATATTGTGGTAAATTATTTTGTCTCAACTGTGTATTTTTCTCTTTGAAAAATGATAACCTTGGTGCTTATAGTATCTACCTACCTCCTCTGGGTGTGATGCAGTCGCTTGGGAAAGGGGGTGGGAGATACATCCATGAGAGATGCTGTATGGGTGTTATATTAAACTGCATTTAGTCCTGTAATTAAAATGTATTCCTTTGATAAAATAAACACATTAAAAACCATAACATCTAGATTTCCTGTTTTCTAGGGATTCTAGACAAATACTGACCATGCCTGTAGTGAGCTGCAGTTGGTGCAAGATATGGATTAAGTAGCAGGTGCCAAGACAGCTGAGAATAGAATATAGCAACTTGAACAATTGAAACAGTTAGCCTGAGATCCTCTTTCAGCCAGTTTTTGTAGTCTTAAGAGCAACTCGAAGAGCAGGTGATTTGATATAATTCATCCCATGCTTGGAGAACTGGTGGCAAAAGTTCGTCTGATAAAGGGAACTTCGTTACACACCTGTGCTGGCAGCACGTACACATGCATTTCAGAGCCAAAGGGCTTAGAGCGGTGGTTTGCAAACCACAGCTCCATTAAAGCACAAGTTGTTGAGATTCACCTTCAGAGTTTTTGAATCAGTATGTCTGGAGTAGGACCTGAGAATTTGCATTTCTAACAAGTTCCCAGATGGTTTCGATGCTGCTGGTCTGGGGAGCATTCTTTGAAAACAACTAGTTAGAATTAATTTCCAAAGAGGTTTCATTTCATCACCAAGGCAGGTAGAACGGGAGGAACCTCTTTCCCAGACCCCATTTTGAGATTTTTAGTGATGACTCAGGACCAAAAGCCTTTCTGAAACCAAAATTATATAGGCATGGCTGAGGCACNTTTCATCACCAAGGCAGGTAGAACGGGAGGAACCTCTTTCCCAGACCCCATTTTGAGATTTTTAGTGATGACTCAGGACCAAAAGCCTTTCTGAAACCAAAATTATATAGGCATGGCTATATCATTACAATGCCAAAGCATAGAAAACCCCCATCAATCCGTTGTTCCATTTATTTACACATTCACTGGTTCATTCTTTTTAAAAAATTTTATCTTTATTGTTGGAAGTATTGCAAATGTCTTTTTTTTTACTGTATTCTTGATGCTCTGGCATTTGGGGGTTTTACTGACTGGGAAGAAACTGCTCCCCCAGTGGCTAGCCCCTACTTACAAATAGCTAAGGGCTTGTCCAGGAGCACATCTCTCATATACAAACAAACCAATCCCAAGTCTATAGCCCCAATCACCTCCTTATCGAACTTTCACACAGCAGGCCAATATTTCCCATGCTCCAAATCATCCCAGGGCCAGGTACCAGGCAACTAGAGACCTCCTCAAGAGCCCAACGGCCGCCAGAATTACTCAAACTAGCCAGTCCTAAGCTGCTGACCCTGCCCTGCCTTTCCTTTCCTGCAGAAACCCCCAACAAAGTCTTATGGCCTGGGCCTTCCCCTTGTTCCTTTCTGCCTCCTGACCAGCACTGGTGCTTCCCCCTGTGGCCCTGCACATCACGTCATGACCCCTTCTCTGGGATCTGTGAACAAAATAAACGTCTTTCTAACTTGGTTCCCTTCTCTTGTGGCCGCACCAACTTTATCATACCACACTCAACATCTGTGTCCTTACGACAGATTCCTTCCTCTTCTCGTAGCTAGCTTGAAGGTCTATGGGGTGCCATCAGACAGCGTCTTGATCAGGAATCACACTACTGTTTCCTTAAAAGGCCACCAGCCTCCTTCTCGGCCTTTCTTCTGGCCCAGCCCCCTCTCTCTTCTTTTTTTCCATTACTCTTTCCCCAGTGCTCATTTGCCTGGTACAGCCATCTCGCCATCTCCAGTTTTCCTACTCAGTGAACCCGACATCACCAGTCTCTGCTTTCACTTTTCATCCCCTTCTGAACCCTCTTGAAGCCCATCAGCTGGAGCCACCAGGACCACACCCACAGTCCCACAAAGCTCGATTGTCAAAAGAGCACAGAAACAGACAGAGAAAGAGAAATGTAGAAGTAACAATGCCAATAAATATGTTACCGTTGATATCTAAAATTAGATTGTGGTAATGTTGCACGACTGTGACTCTTCTAAAATACACTGAACTGAAAACTTTTTAAAATTTATTTATTTTTAATCGAATTTATTGGGGTGACATTGGTTAATAAAACCATACAGGTTTCAAGCGTACAACTCAATAAAACGTCATCAGCACACTGCGCCGTGCACTCATTGCCCAAAGTAAAGTCTCTTTCCATCCCCATTTATCTCCCCATTGCCTCCTCCGCCTTCCCCCCTCCCCCTTTCTCTCTGGCTATCACCATACTATTGTCTGTGTCTATGTGTTATATATATATATA